GGCAAGGTCGATGGGTCGAAACCGTCAGACTCTATCCCCATATAGCGACCATGATGATGATGATGGCCATGAGTACCTGATGGGACAGGGTGATAGCTGGGGGTGTTGGAGAGTAAGGTTACCATTGAAGCCTGGTTGACTATGGTCCATCCCAGTAGCAGCATCGTCCATGTCATCATTATCATCTTCGTCGGAGTCAGAGTCGTCCGCCCACATCCTGTGCTTGGACTCTCTCGGAAAGGCGTGTTGGTCCAGAGTCAACTCCATCTCCTACAAGATGATGAACGACACTACACACCAACTAAGATTCGAACTCGCGACCTTCATGATTGTAAGCACATGTCATAACCATTACACCATAACCCCTCTATAAAACATATCGAACAAATAATATTCCTCTCATTCTCATAACTACTACCTGAGTTTTCCCTTTAGTAGATACGTCCACATCCAGGAAATCAGTCATAGTGTCGGCCCTCAAACCCGTATTGTCTGCTGTTTGCCTAGCCCCCAGGGGCCCACCGTTCTGGTGACCGTTACCAGCCCCTCCAGCGGAGGACGGTCCAAACATGAGGTCCTCGATACCTACCATACAACGTTCAAGGCGGCTACCGTATGGCAACGAACGCACCTTGGGAAAATTGTGACTCCCCATGCTGAGTGAAGAAGTCGCTGGTGTTGGACGTCATTTTGAAATCGAGCAACTACTCTCATTAGATAATGTGCCTCCAAGCGCACTGCCAAGAATTCAAAGATACGCATGCCGATGGAAACCACTATAAGGGAATTTACGTGAACTACCGCCAGGTTTGTCAATGAAAATCACAAGTTGCGAGGAAGGTGATAATAGGAATAGGGCGAGTCGGATTATGCCTTCAAACACGCTTATCGAACCTATGAGTGTGTGAGCTCGCCACAATGCATAGTGATGCCATTGCTATACCCAACGGTCATTCTGGCACTTTTCCAACCAGTTGCCTGCAATACTAACCTCAAGTACCACCCATTGAGGCGTGGGATAAGGGGTGCACGAGGGACCACCCTCAGTGGCTCATCACGCCCCAAGGGGACCGCCATGACCTCATGCCTCATATAGTGACACTGTTGAACAGAAGGCACATCTCACTGCCGATTGGGAGAGGGTGTTGTCCCTGACCACCACCACATTGGCAAGGGGCTCCTTATTCCACCCAAGGAGATCTTTGGCAGTGCAGCGACGTCCCTCGGAGAAGAGGGGTTGGCCAGAAGACTATTCAAACTGTATTTTACTACTATAGCGAATTCGCAACAATGCGGGCCCAGTCAAGCGATGAAAAGAGACCGTCCGCAGCGAAACCCTACATTGGGCGTGTGGGAGGGGTGAAGTAACCAACGTTGGTTCGAGGAAATCGACGACACCGATCCCGAGGCATTTTCAAAGTAGTACTATGAGCTCCCACAGTTCAAGCACGGTGACTGACCAAACCTGCCACTACCTCGCTGACTTCAAGCCCCCGCTCTCCATTCATAGGGCATAACAGCAATTGGGCGCGCGCGAAAAGGGATGCAGGAAAATGGCAAACCCTAGCGGAGCGATGTAAGACTAAAAGCGATCATCGACGCGATGTGTATCGTAGTTCCTCGTTAGGTTCGATCCCGGCATACATGATCGGTCATGCTGCACCCCCACTGGACCACAGGATTCCGAGGAATATATTCGGGGCCTCGTCCGGCTCGGTAAGGCCTGTGGTCTTGCGGTCAATGCTTCTAGTGTGGCCCTTTAGGGGATGTCAACACCGTTGAAGGGTTTTGGCAGTTTTGAAACTCTATCGACCTTATGAATTTACCCAATTTCAGCACTTTATCTGTTTTAAGAATGGCGTGCAACCAGCGTGGGAGGATGAGCGCGATGAGTAGGTCGTCGTGATGCTCGATGGAAGCTCATTCGGCCCTGTGCAGGGAAGGAGGTCGGTGGGTGATGAAGGGCCTTTGCCGATCGGATAGTCGGGAGTGTTACTCCACGTGCATTCTTGCACTGTTGGGTAATCTCTTCACGGCTCCACAGAAAATGGTAAAAGTGTTCGCTTGATGTTGTTGATTAGTGCTTGTAGAATGGTATTGTATTCTCGTTCCGGCCAAGAGGGAATTCTATAGATCTGTGGAACACGATGGTCGATCCTGAGTTGTTCGAGGTGAATTTGAAAATGGTATGGTAGTAGTAGTAAGGCATGAGCAAGTTATTGATTGGGAGCTGCGTTCGATCGCCCCGGAGGATATGCATGAGATGGTTGAAGTGGAGTATAGGGACCATAGAGGGGCTATAAACCATAATATGAGGAAACTGGGTAGTAGCGATGAAGTTGAACTGACATGCCGAGAGGTCTGGTAATCGAGGATTTCCCTTTTAGTGGAGTCGGCTTGCCCACCGGGCTCGATGTCGCTCTCATTATTCAGGCAGCGGTGCCTCCCACTGGCGGTTGTGTACTGGTATGGAGAATGCCGTTGGTCCCGTTATGATGACATCATTTTCCAGTGAGGAGATGACCTCACCCGACACGTTATACGATCGTTGTACAACGCCTAATGCCGCTGCCTACTATTACCCTCACGTTGAGTTTAACGTAGACGCCCCTGAGTTCTGTCCAGGGAGTGGCTGTGGTCAACTCATTGGTCTGTCGACTGATACTGGATCGAGTAACAGCTACTATGTGGAGACACCCGTGTGGGATCATGCTAATACTACCGTGATGTATTGGGAGGAAGAATATACAGAAGAGGGGATCCCTTCGCATGGAGGTTGGTGTGTTGATGAGCAATGAATGGCGGATGAAGGGACTTTTAATATGATGGTGCTGCCAACGGCAGTAGGGCATGATCGGAGTGATGGCATGGAAATTTAACGTATTGTACTCATTGTATATAATGGAAGCGTCTCAAGTGTCTTCATCACACTTTCCCCATAGGCCTCTGTAGTATTGAGTTCGTCGAGTCGGGTTGTACATTTCGAGCATACTATGGATAAGAAAACATGTAAGGACATGTACGGGAACTGGGGAGGCAGTGATCAACTGATGATAGGGGAAAGAAGTCACATAGTGATCCGAATGGAATGGCGCGTGTGTCTTAATGCTATACGACCTAGAAAACACTGGGTCATGACGGTTTCACGGTGCATGGTTACTCCTGGGGAACAAAACACTTGAATCTAACTAAGCTAACAGATCATCTGCATGCTCGAACTTTATTAGAAGTTACAAACTGCGGTGACCAAAGTTGTTTGCAATGCATCGAAAAGAGGGCATAGTCCAGATTCGAGGCTTCGTGTGGCTAGTAAGCTAGTCTCAGATTGCGGCTCCGACGAGGTTCTGGATTCGAGATCAGAAAACGCATCTGATCACTGATCAGTGATCAGCCGCCCAACCCATAGCTCTTCTCAAACAACATCTCCCCAAGAGAGATGTGCGAAAACTCAACGTAGCCAGCAACCAAGCACTTGAGGTAGGACTCAACACAACTCACAGTATTCAAAGATCCATGAGACGCACGCTAGAGTTATCGGCTCGCACGGTGACCTATAAGAAGCAACGAATCTTGCTACATCGTCACAGCGACGACCACAGTGACGACAGAACGGCACTTCCATTCAGCTTACTGTAAACACTGCTGATGGTCTTCCGTTTGGGAACTCCCTTAGCCGGTCCAGCAGGACTCAAGTCCTCTCCGAGAACATCGTCCACGGCACTCATCAACTACATACGAGTTGTACAAGTCACTCACGAATCCAGGCCTAGCATACGAGCTCATCCTGCTGGCTATGCCTTTTTAAAGAGTTGTTAGTGATCGCTGGAGCGGATGGTCTCAAACTTCGAGGGGCCGCCGAACTGAACAACACAGTCGTCCAAATCACATTCATAGGGGCCTTGCGACCTAGGTGTATAACGCCGAGTTGGCTCGTGAACGTTACGCTCCTCGTCAGGGGGAGAGGAGGCTCTCTCTCGTCCAGGAGGCGACTCGTCCCTTGTGGCCACTGCATCGACTCGAGTGGTATCTCGGGAACTACTAGAGGGTATCCGAGAGGTACTCAACTTCAAGCCTGACCAGCAGAGGTTCTCATATGAGCCGAATCATATGGAGTACACCGCGACTTTCACCCAACCGCGATTTAGCGCTAGAGTGTCACAGTAGTCTGTACAATTCCAAATTCCAGATGGAATCATCTATTCACACCGACGCACGGTAAATGATAGATTCACTTGAACGCGGAATGGTCGTATGCCCACCTCTGAGGCCCTCTATCGCCCTCCGCACCTCCCCAAGAGCTCTGTCGAACGCCTCAGGCTCAACTAAGTGCATTCTCATAGCAGAAGACAACCTCACGCTGTCTCCTCTAGAGGTTAGGGAACTCATTTGTTGCTTTACCTGGCAAGTATCAAATATTTGGCGAACACATTGTAACGAACAAATTCGTTCAACTGGGTTCGCAATGCTGGTATCCGCTCATGCTGTAGACTATCATGCGTCTGAGTTCGATAAGGAGGCAGGGAAGAATGATAAATACGATATTTATCATTTTCCCCTGAAGAAAGTGAGAAAAGTCGTGGTCGTTGCCAACGGTCACCACTTTTCTCACAATTTTCAGACCGCCTCTCGTAACTGTAATATGCGTAGTCAGACTTGAGCTTCTGGAGCAAACGAAAACTGATTTTGCACCGCTGGGCACGGTTCAAACTATACTGCTATACCTTCAACAACTATGTTGAATCTCTTATGTTCAAGCGCCTACCTCCGAATACGCGGCCAACGTAGCGACCTCGTCGTTCAGTATCAACGATTCCTAAGCAGAGCAACTTAATTCCACCACAGATGACATCGACCATCACTTCCATTCTGGCGGCAACTTCCTCAACCTTTTCCCGTTTCGACTGGAGCTCTCGATGAACACCATCGACACGCTGCGACTCGCCGCGTATCTTAGGTTACAGCGTGGCACCGACACTGACAGAAGATACGCACCTTAGAATCTGCCTTGGACAAAAGCTCTTGCTCTTTGCGATCCAAGGATGCTCTCAGGGCAGCAAAAGACGTGTGTATTCTGAATGGTGAATGCGCTGTCTATAGACCCCTCGTGGAATTTCTCACGTATCTTTCGTCGTTTCCAATAATGCTTCCAAATCACGTCGAACTAGATCTACTTCCTCCTCCGATTGTCTGATGTCACCAAGCCTGCTAGCCAACCCTCTTTGGAGCTTTTCTATACGATTTTTCGCCTGAGAAGTTTCCTTCGCTCTTGTCGCTCAGCGACGGGCACAGTCACCATAGGGAGGGCCTTCTTCAATAAGAACACCTCGTTCAGATGCTTTGTATGCTCCTCACTCCTCATGACGCACTCCGAGCACATCGGGGGGTTCTCGCAGACCAAGCAGAAGTACTGCACATTTTCCGATTCATGAACCGGACATGTCCTTATCATCCTGAATTGCCCCCTATGGCGAATACAGGCGCGAGGATGCAGCTTACTTCAACGAGACGGGGAGCTGCGATGACGGCTGTGCTGCGCGAGAGAGACTCAGCGAGTTGTTGACAGGTTTGATAGGAGAAAGGTGGTGGTCCATCATTCGCCCTCGTCGATGGATCAGACCTGAGCTCTTACTGTCGTCATGAGTGTTGGAAGATGGAGGCTCCCACTAGCGCATTTCTCACAGAACTCCTCATCACAGTTAGAGCATCGGATCGAGGCTGCATCACGTGTACATTGACCGCAACCGGGTACAGGTGTCGGGAAGGAGTCTGCAATGATTGAGTCACCGCATATTTTCAAAGGAGCGCACCCCGTAGCCTTGAGTTGGACAACCTCCGCTCATCGATAGGGCCACGCATGGGCGGTGATATGGAGAAAGTACTGGCAAACACGCCGGCCATCGGCGAGCGGACGTTGTTGCTGTTATTAAGCTCGCTACGCCCATTCGCTGGCATCAAGGTACTGGGAGCCGGAGGGAACTGACTCCTGGAAGGAAGGAGGAATTGAGGACGACGAAACCTTCATCGTATCCTTCGTCACGAAGGAGACTACATAGGGAGTGTTGGAATGTATGTTCGCTTTCATCAGCTTGGCTCAGTATTTTACTCACTAATTATAGAATTTTACACACAGTTTCGTATAGAGGTATTCATAAACTTATAAGGGTTCCCACAATTCCCTCAGAATTCCCTCGACATTGTCGTCAACACATGTAGATGAGCATGCGCATATTTTCCCACGGTGTTACTTCAATTGTTCGGCGCTGTCCAAGTCCACGTCAGTAACGCTGCCACACTGAGCGCAGGTCACCTGAGTATTGGAATATCGATTCCTTGGGAATTCGAGATGCTCATCACAGTGTAGCCGTTGCTGTTCTTGCTGCCCATTTTCATGAGGCCGGCAGCACATCCAAGACACAGGTTGTGGTCACAGATCAGTATAAGTGCGTCCTCTAATACTCCATGGCAGGAAGCGCACAGCATGCTTGACAAACTACGCTAGAAGAGGCTTCAGACCATGGTGGCCCACTGACAGCATACAACTATAACAGTAGATTGATATTGAAATCAGCGTGGTACTGAATGTCAATATCATGCATACAAAGTCTCAAGCTCACAGCTGTGCTTCTGATGTCGTAGAGGGCAGAGAGGAAGGAGTATTCTCCAATAATGTCGGGCGAACACCATACGAATATATATCCGCTACCCTCAGCTGACTCAAGGAGTTTCCTTACTGATTATAGGAGTTTATATCCGAATCAGGGTAGAAGTGCTCAGAAACTAGCGGAAAATTGTCCAGAAATTTTCATGTTGTCACCGACACATGTTGTTCACGACGCGCGTATTTTCCCATGGCAAAGTCGCATGGATCCCCATGGCGGCACCCCCCCCCCATACAAGTACAGGGAAACGTGAAGTACTTAAGCGTTATATATTGAAAGCATCAACCAGGACTCATGGTGAGAAACTCCCTTATCGCAAATTCAAGTACAACGTCTCAAGCAGTCTTACGTACAATTAAAGTAATTTCATCATGCGGATATTGGTCAACAATCCGATGATGACGATATGGATATAGGCGACAACGGGAGTGCAGGCTCAGCAGTCGCGACCAGCAGCACGGGGTCCTCCTCGAGCAAAACAGCCGTGCCAGTCTCTCCAGCTGAGGACTCTGCATCATCGGGCACACCTTCCAACACTGGGATCACTTCCTCAGCCTCCCTTCCTTTGGGCCTTTGCCTCTTTCGAGGCTTACGAGAGTTACCTGGGAAAATGCATAACAACTGATCGAGAAAGTAAGCTCATTCACATTTAGCAGAGTTCTGATGTCGTTCCATTAGCCACTCGCAAATCTCTCGCCCACACTTAGGGCACCGACGCTTGAGTATAAACGAACAACCTTCACAATGCTTCTTATGGGCATACCTCCTCCTCTCAGAGATGACTTCACAACATCGCCGGCATTCGAAGCGGTCGTACATCGACATTTCAACGCGAGTGGGCGAAAAAACTATGCAACGATCACAATAAGATTCACGCTTCTTAGACATATGAGGTTTTCATATTACTCCTCAGGGCGATGAAGATGCTAATCATCCTCAGCCACTGTAGCGCTCGCGGTTACTTATTCTGTTTAGAAGAAGACTGCACCAGGACCAGATTAAGGCATTTTCAAGATGGATTCTACTCATAAGCTAGGATGCGTCGCCGATGATTTGCACGCGAATACAAACACCCTAAGCCTCCGTGGAGAATAAACATAAACTATAAGAGGCACAGTGCTGTATGGCTCTTCCCAAGGTTGTGCATGGTACATCTACCTACAGCACAGTTATCGTACTCTTCAGTGGTGACACGGCAATGGCTTGGATACGGGGCATCGCAGCATTCAGCTCGATCATTACTCCCCAGCACTCGAAAATCAGCAACTTGGCGGACTCAACGTGCAGCGTGGAAGTTCGAAACAACTGCCACAGACTGCAGCTGGAAACCTGCGGTGCTCATCAGCATCTAGTTGCACCTCATGGGGGAAGAGCACGCTCCACCGAATACCGCAGTTATCAATGTCAGATACCGACATGTGCAGCTTGCGCATGGGCAAACTCGACCGCCAGAGGGCTAGTTTAGGCCCTAAGCTTCATCAGGACAATCAGGAAGGTCTCATGCTTCAAGATCCTCCTTCACGGCTCGTTCACCATCATATGAACAATAGTTTTCAGAAGACTTGCAAGGGCCAGCCGCCGATTCAAAAGGCCTCATTCCACACAGTGCGTTCCACAGTGACTGTGGAACGCCAACCGCTGATGCTCCCATCACCCGTCTCCATCCCCAATCGAAACTCACCAACTTTCGACAGTAATCAAGCCGCGGCTTTCACGAGCAATGCCTCCAACAGAGCCTTTCGGGATAAACAACGATAACTATATACTATTAGTGTAAACCCCAAAATACCTGGAGGAAGAGACCGTCGAGTAGAATCATTCTACTCGAATGCCATTGGCGTTACGCCGAGCCGAGAGTGATTAGTCTTGTCTGTCCGTTCTTCTTGGTGCCTTCTGGTTCGAAGGCCCATGAGTAGAATCAGCGCAGTGACTGCACCGATTTGCGTATAAGCGCTTGTTCGTACAGGGTGACAAACTTCGGTGGAGGTCGGCATCTGATACCCCAAGTCTGGAAGTCCCAGAAACCCCCAGAATCAAATGACGAGAGTTTATTGATAAACCCAAAGCAAAAAAATGGGGGGGGAGAGATTGATGAAAGATAAAACGTCGAGAAAAAGATCAAGTTGATTGCGCCACATCCGGGTGCCGAAGTTTACTGAACCCTGTATAAACTACCGACAAAACTACCTCGAATGACTGATGGTAGGAAGGTGTGATTCAAGTGGAGACAACTCGATCAAGAAGGCAATGAATCCCCGCATTGCCGTGGCCGATGTCAATAATTCTCACGGGCATCCGAGAGACATGTATAAAGCGACCATAAGTGAGCCAGCACGCAGCTGGTGTTAAAAAAACGTCATTATGCATGGTAAAACTGCTAGCATAAGCATTGCAATGAAATGACGACCCAAATGTACCTGATTCCGGGATTATCATCAACTATAACTACCACAACCTCGACGGTGATTGATCGCCCCACTCACCTCAGCTCGGATACTCCCGGAAGGCTTATCGGTGCTTTTGTTAAAGTACGACTTGTCGAGGAATTCCATAACGTTGTCTTCATTAAATACAAAGTCATTCGTGTCCGCCTTATACTCACGACATTGTCTACACTCATTTCTAGTAGGCCAGGCCGTATCCTTTCCAGTGATACCCCTCTCGTGTGAAGTCCTGTTATTAACCATATTATGGACGCGCCATAGCCACAGTGCTGTATGCCTTCTATCAGGGTTGGGCATAGTACACCTTTCACCAACACAGTTATCATACCCTTTAATGAAGTGCTGTGCGCAGCTGTGGCACATGAAAAAATATGTGACGAAGGACTTGATCGTCTCCATGACCTTTTCCCCATTAGAATCCTTCCCAGTAGTCGCCGAAAACTTCATGTCAACTCCCAAGGTGAGCGCATGGAAAAACTGCCACAAACCACAGTTAAAGTTCTTGCAGTGTTTCCAGAAAGGATCAGGCTGCTGCCTCATACGCCTGGGGGCGATTCCATCAAGCATAGCCATCCATTGATCCTTAGTAATAGCGCCAGAACTTTTGCTAATATTGCCGAGAAGACCACTGACGTCCTTACGGAATTCCTTGTCGGGATGAACGGACACAATGACTGGTAAAAGATTTTCCTTCAGTATTTTCAGCTTTTCCACGATGAGGGTGGTGTTAGCAGGGAAGAACGTGGCCGTATGCAGAGCGTACGCAAATGCAAGTATACCATCTAGTATACGCATCTCGTACGTAACGTTGGCATCATCGGGGAAAAGACTCCCACCAGTGGGAGTAGTCGTACTAGTAGTAGTAGCCATCGCTGTAGTACTAGTAGCCATCGTTGTGATACCAGTACTAGTAGAAATCGTTGTAGTACTAATAGCTGTGGGAACTGTTGTAGTACTACTAACACGAGTGCTTGTCGAAGGAATGGATGTTGTCGTGTGCGCTGAGCTAGTAGTAGTGGTAGTAGACGGCAACGGCTTAGTTGTCGTAAGTACCGGGGTCTTCTCCAGCATCATCCTAATATAGCCCACCAGCGGCCCTGGATTGCCATACCTCTCCCCTTTGAGGTATGTGAAGACAGTGGGATAATTATCCACTCCTTGCTTACCGCAAAACTCATTCGCCTCGTCATCTCGTACACAGTCGAAGGCCACTACACGAGGAAGATTCTCCTCATCATAGAACGTTTTCGGGTTATAGAAAACATTCTGGTTCTTGATGAGCTCATCCGCAGTATGCCGGCAATGCCCGCACCAATGCGCGTAGTATATGACTACTTTCGTATACAGCTTCGTCTCCTGAGCTTTCCTCACATCACTTTCGTCGCCATCTAATATCTTGGTCTTGTCCTTGGGAAAGAGTCCTTGATAAGAACCGTATAAAAGTGCTGTCATTACAGCGGCGAATTCCGGCAACTGGAGACGCATGGCTAAACAAAGGTGGGGAAATCTGATCGATTATGCAACTACCAGTTCTCATCGAAAATCACAATCGTTCCGCTGGGCAACCAACCAACTCGAAAAATCTTCGAAGCACGAAAGAATGTACCACTCTGTGATGAAGACGACAGAGAGCTGCTGCCCGCAGCAACACACCTGACACGGCCTCTCTGGCATCCATCGCCAAAAACTCTTTTTCTAACCGCACCTCAACCAATTCATGGCTCAAGCTAGCTCGAATTCCTTGTCGAGTAGCCCTCAAGTGTAGGCCTCAAAAGGAACAGGTGTAAGGGAGAGGATTGATGCCAAGATAGAGGTAGTGATGATGACGAAGTGAACGCCTAGAGAGAGCAACAATACAGGGAATCGATTTAAACGATTCGATTATGCATTCAACTGTACGAGTGTCCTTCCAACAGGTTTGCGATGTCATGTCCCAGTGTGACCGCACCACTAGGCCCTACATCCACCATTACAGCATCTTCATCATAGCCATGCTTCCCTACATTCTGGGCGTAGCGCACAAGCAGGGGAAGGAGACATCAAAGCGCGTGACGCGGTCACACGGTGCGACTCACACCTGCGCCACGACCCTACACCCCAAGCACCCGACATGGAAGCTGCGTTAATATGCTGGATTACACCACCAACACTGTATTGGTGCAATCCACGATCGGCGCCGCTCTCGGAAGGTTCCGAATGCGCATACCGTATAAGACCCAACCCATACCAGGGACGCCCAAGTGTTTCTAAGATTCATAAGTTCTTCACATGTGCAACCGTTGCACTGCAACGTCGTAACAGCGTTACGGTAACGCCGGAAGTGAGACGAGCACGATCGGTTCCGCTCATTGCGTCCACTTTCCCGGAATCTTGTTTGCTAAGTCTTTTCGGCACCGTTACGGGTAATGTAGGCTACATTTTCCTGTATAGCCTCTTATGTACTATACCCTCCTGATGTAGTGAATAGTATTGATCACCACGACACAACTCACAAAGATTCTGCGCCAAAGAGATTGTCCACGAAGTTACAATACCTGCACGAGGAAAAAGTTCTCAGTTCCAGTACCAAAATTGTAGTGAATAGTATTGATCACTAAAACACAACTCACACTAATAGCACTCGGAATCCCGAACTCAAACCATGTTGACTCAGTCATGGGAATATATAAACATGTACGTGCTCATGGGGGAGCCCATAACCCGGACGCCGGGGAAGGGCGGAATATTACAGACATGGTTCCGCGCTACGGAACCGTCGGTGGCACGGAACCACGGAAAATTCTGTATTTTGTAGGAACATTCTGTATTTCGCGCGCCGCGCATCGGCTATGCCCAGATAGCAGGGACGGCTACATCGCTCTTTCCGATACTCAGTATCATGTCTGATCAGTCTGATCAATACTTTACGCAAGAGCAAACAGTACTCATCAATTGGCTGCAACTGGCGATTGCTCAGCACAGTGACTATTATAATCATCAATAGCAGCAGCAACCCCGTCACAAACGAGGCAGAGTAGAACCACCGAACAAGTAACAATGGAATAATATGTACAGTATACGAGGTAGAATTAATCACCATTTCTCAATCCCTATGATAACCTTCACTTTTCCCACATTCGCTGCGTCCGATTCTTTTGGTGGTCCGCCTCTTACTTTCGTTGCTGCGTACGGGCGGGTGCACTGAACGATCGGAGAACCAGAGTCACTCAGACACTATCAGTCTCACAGGATGGCATTGGATAAAGCCAAGAGATCCACGACAGCGCAGTGCGTGGTGGAGTTTAAGCCCATAAATAGGACTGCTCGCACTCCACAGGAAGCCCAAGTCTTTAAGGAGAAGACGCTCAGCATGCTGCCAAGGGGATAGTGATTATTAGTGCCTTCCCTTTGAGAGACGGAGGGTTGGGGCTACTGTTAGAAGACAGCAAGGACGCAGAGAGAATCTTGGCTGCGCTCCGTGCTGTTCAGGGCTCTCAAGCCAGCACTCCGCGTGGATTATGGCCGGATGTGATATTATATAACTGTGCTGTCTCTCGGGGTATCACCATCTCTGCTCTGGAGAGCGGCTCTCTAGAGCAGGGATGGTGATCCCCGAGCGGCTCTCCGAGAGCCACATACGTGGAGGGAATGCTGACTTGGTCAGCGGGTAGCACAAACATCACCCTTCACTGCCTTACACACCTTGTGGTATCTCCAACCCTTCTTTCGATATGTCACTCCGCACTATACGGCATATTCACATAGACACTGCGCCATATTCCGATACACTCTCGAACATATACTACATGCGGCTTGGTTTTTACTGAACCCCACCTCACTAAAGAACACCTGGTACTTCTCAGCCATATCCAATGCTGAAGAGTGCACAGACGAGTACCGACCCAGCTGAAGCTCTCCCTGTTGCTCCTCCAATCCGAAGTCCCTCGTTTCCACTCTAATCACCATATATGTCATGTTGTCTGTGGACTCCAATAAATCAAGGCAGCGAGCTCCAACCCGAACTGTAGTATCTCAGAAGCTATCTCGGCCAAATCACTTCCGGCGGAAGTCTTCCGCCATGAGCCAGTTCCTATGATCTCACGCGCCACATCCTCATTGGACATAACATCGAATACCCCAATGCAAGCCAGTACTACCCGGTCGCCAGCCTCACCAACGACCTCCTTCACCTCCGGTACAGCGATACACTTCTGTTTATCAGCACGGCGATCTGCATCATCCTTATACGCGAAATCGCCGAACCCCCTTTACAAGGCCAATACACTGCATAACTTTACGAGCCCCTCCGTGCTCACAAACCCATCACCTCCCTCTATCCGAGCCTTTCCCTCAGGGTCGTCAGGCTTATGATCCTACGTGGCTGCCAACAGACCCCGTCAGTTTCCGTGAGCGTCGAAAGATCCTTTTTCGACCCCGGCATATCTCCAGCCCTACATATACCCCTGTCACTACAAGGCTCAGTACTGTCATCATTACACAGCTGCCTTGTAACGTCTTCTTAAGCGTTCTCCAGCTTCGTTACATCAACGCGCTCACCCATATCAACGTGCCAACACCAGTGTAGGGAGTCTCCAGCGTTCATAATGCGCACTTTATACTTGCCGTTACTTAGAGGCGTCTCCTAAATGAAGAACCCGTGCTAGACCGAACCTCCTCTCCTTTCTGATGGTAGTGGAGGAACAATGCAACGAATTGACAATTATTAGAGCAAAACTCAGCAGCATTGTCCCCACTGGAAGCTCCCCAGTATGGCCGTCGTCGATGGCCTATCGAGTACTGCGAAGGAGCCTTCCTCTTGCGAAGGAGCCTCTTCTTGCGTGGAGTCCCAGTCCAAATCTATGCGGTGCGCATCTTCATGAGATACCTCCAAGTTGGAGGCTCCAACCTTAAAGCGTGGCCACATTGCCTTGAAAGCTGCCGTTGGCACGCCGCTGTAAATTAACGGCAGTATTCGGATGAGACAGGAGCCCACCCATCTGGGAGAATGTAGAGGAACAACACCACAAACCTTCCATCGACGAAGAAAATGCATAACCCTCCCAATGTTTTAATAATCGATCGGAATAAAGCGCGCGCCACTGTAAAATTTAGAAATGCAAACTTTCGAGATAGCAAGATGAGCTCAGCCAACGCTGAGCAGCGCCCCCGGGCGGACGCTGGGGCCTTGGTTTGGCACCTGTCGTGATAGCTAGAGAGGTACTGTTGTATACTTCACTGTCGCTGCCACGTTTGATAACATTAGTGTCTAGCCTGGTGAAGCTTTTCGAGCGCTCTTCGCACGTACGTCCACAGGATTGCTGTAACCGGTGGAGCTAGTGAGTATTTTTGACGACTACCCTGTGTTGGGAACCTATCTATCTCACTGATAGTCATCGTCATAGACTGCGTATTGAGTATCGGTTGTGGTAGTTGTTCTGGTATTGCTACATTCCCTATGGCTGATTTAGTTTACTTCAATATCGACGACGGTCTAGGAGAGGGTCTCGTAAGAGGTCTTCGTTCGGGCTTCCTCACAGCAGATGATTACCGTCGTATTGCCAATGGAGAAAACTTGGAAGGTACCATCCGTTGTTACATTCGAGGTTCCGTATGCTATTGACTTTTCTCTCAGATCTCCGAACAGCTTTGGAAGATACAGACTATGGCACTTTCCTCCAGGATGAGCCCAGTCCTCTTCAGGTCAGTTGTTATCTCAACGGTGTCCATTGTGGACGATTTCCTCCAATTCTGTAGGCTTCTACTATCTTGCGGAAGTGCCATGAGCGTCTCGCTGAGGAGTTCGATTATGTCAGAGCTCAATCAGTCGGCGAGATGGCTAAGTAAGTGGCCAATACTCGATATACTGGATGTGTTCATTATTGGCCGTTGTAGGTTCATGGATTATGTCCGTCAAGAGGCTATGATTGACAACGTGGTAATGCTCATTCAGGGTACCATCAACAACAAGAATCCTAAGGTAAGGCGTATAGCTCCTTCTCTGTGGTATGGTTACTCAGGATCTTCTTGCACGATGTGATCCTCTTGGCTACTTCGAGGAGATGAAGACCATTCCTGGCATGGACTTTACTCATGGTTATGAAGACCTCTACCGTACCATTCTCATCGACACTCCTCTTGGACCGTAATCATAGCACCCATCACGATAACCATGTTATGGTGTCCTCCTTAGTTATTTTGAAGAGTTCCTCAATTCCAAGCAAGTTCATACTCACACTGAGGGCCAGGGGTCTGGTGCCCAGAGTGGCCCTAGTGGAGCTACAGCTGTTGTACAGCATGGGGAGGTTCATAACGTCCTCACTGAAACCGATCTGGAGATTCTCAGGAATGTAAGTCTTAGTTCAACTCGTGAGCGTGGCGAATTTGGTGCTTTGCCAGTTCCTTAAGAAGTGTTGGATGGAAAGCTTCTACCGTTTCTGCATGGACGGAAGTGAGAACAGCAACACTGCTGAGGTCATGGGCCACATCCTAAGAACTGAGGCTGATTACAGGGTATGCGCCAGTGAGTGTTGATGTATGAAATCGTTTGGTGTAGGTCTTGATGGTCACTCTCAACGCCCTCAACTCGCCTCTTGGAACTGCTCAGAACTTGGATGAGCGTAATGCTCTCTATCCCAACTTCGGGTAGGTGTTCTTGGTGTTTATACGTGTCACTGATGCCTTTTATATAGCTACTTGTATCCCGAGGGAACTGATAAGCTCATGAAGGCGACTTCGGATACTGCCGTCCGCGCTGCGTTGGAACCTTACCTAAAGTAGGGTAGTTTGATGTTGGCTTGGTTGATTCTGAATTTCTTTGTAGGTATGCCCAGCTGTACGACCAATGCAAGCAGTTCTATGAGCACGACTCGAACGTTGACAAGACTACTCAGGGTCGCTACAAGTCTATTGAGGATCTCTTATACGTTGAGTCCGTGCGTATGTTCGAGAACTCCTTTGAGCAGCAGTACCACTACGGTATTATCTATGCTTGGGTTAAGCTGCGTATCCAGGAAATGAAGAACATTGAGTGGATGGCCAACATGGTGAGTCGTGGGGACTTGTAGTGTTTGGTTGTTTATTGCCTCAAACTCAGATTGTCCTTAAAAAGAAGGAGCACGTTGAGGAGATTGTTCCAATCTTCGCTCCTCGTGTGTAAGTTTCTAGAAGGGTGATGGGTGATGCTATCCCCACTGAAGAGGACTGGTAGTTCCTCCTCGATTCCATCGGGCTAGTTATGGTGTTACCCTAGACTTTTGTTCAACGCTGTGATGAACAGCAGCGTAGTGGAATTGGTGTCTAGTGTTTCTTGAAGTAATATTCAGTAATGATTGTGTATGTGTTGTAGTAGTTAATAATGTTGGCGTTAGCGAATCGCTGACGGCGTTCAGCCTGACGCAATAACTATCGCTGACAGCGATAGAAGATCCACTGGTTGTGAGTTCATAGATGGGACATAAATCTCTCGTGAGTTCAGTCACCATCTCACTCGTGGTTGCACTGAAGAGGGTTGCGTCAATCGGTCCTCAGTAGTGACTTATATATGATATACGTCTTTTCCTTGCTTGTATGGTTTAGTCTGTTAAGTACGAGGAGGCTGTTGATAGGTTGATGTGGGGGGATGGTACTTCAATGCGGTGAGAAGATTGGGCGTGTTAAGAGCGGAGCTAGCGAATTGTCTACATCGGTATAAAGTACGTTCTTGTACGATGTGTAACAGAAGTGATGACCACTGGTATCATACTAATGGTATGGCTAGTGGTTGTTCAGGGTCGTAACAGATTGAGCAGTGCTTGATGATGGGTGTCGACTCAGGAGTACGGGATAGCATCGTCTAGCTCACCCATTGCTTTACGAATACGAGTGCGGACGTTCTCGTGGCCCATCTTGGGGTATCTTTGGTAACATGCGTGAGGCTGCGGCGAGGCCATTTGGGGACAAGTCCGCCCGGGTAAGCCTCTGACTTTAGCAGTGGGCGACGCGGTGCTGATTTATTGCCTTGGCTAGAAGATTTCCCCTGCGTTTCGTATGAGAAGAGTGATGGCTTTAACAGTCGAAGTTAATGACCGCGAGTCAGCGTTCATCAAAGTGACGTGCGCTTCAGGAACGCCGCTGTTGATCAAGTTGCTCATGTATAACTCGATGAACTCAATGCAGAGTAGGTTGAGGTGCAGCAGTATACAAAGCGTCAATGTGGGACTTGTTATATGCTGTAATCAGGCATTAGTTGAGCATTATGTCTCTTTAGCCGTGTCATTCTGTGTGCACCATTGTGATCTTAGCATTTCTCCTCATCTATTTAGTGTAAGTAACTGAGAATAGTTATCCTTGCACTCTTGAAGTTATTTGTGCCCTTAAGCCATTAGCTATGCCCTTACACAGTTGTACGCATACACAAAGGCCTTTCTGCGCCTTGGCTAAGCTTTAGTTGGGAGTCAATTTAGGCACTCAACAGCGTTGTGTTCGCTATGTGCTTACGTACACATCTTCACTAAGGTGAGCAAGATAGCACAAGATAGCACGAATAAGCTGCGACTTCGGGTTTGGGGGGGACGGCCGGGAGTCCCGGGCGTAAGATAGCTCATCACGCACACACCCACGCCTCAGGCACGCACGCACGTACAACGCATATGTACAATACGTAGGAAATGCCTGCGGTTACGTGACGCGACTTCCGTGACGCAACTTCCGTCATAGGTGCTTCACTCGCTCTGTAACTCCATGCTGCGATTTACGACTCAACGAGTCGGACTCACGAAGTGACGTTTGTAAGTGTTCCTAAAGACTTGTGAGTGTTCCCTCAGGAAGGAACGGTAAGGGTTCCTTCTTTTGAGGTGAGTTACCTCAGCTAACACTTGAGGAGTAGTTCCCAAATTATAGGGCCAATAGTCCAAAGGTAACCATTCTCAGTTCCTTGCACTGAATCGATGAGTAGGCGTGCTGGAGTTGGAACACACTGGGTAACTGGGTTGAAGAAACATAATGCTGATGTTGATCGGATCTATCCTCAGTAATTTTCTCACCTATGTTGTTCAAAATTTTCATCTCGATCGGCATCATCTGTTTCATGCTCCTCATTCACCCTACCGAATCCCGCACTCAGCTCCGTTCATTAGAAGGAATCGTTTGCCCGGGTTTCTGTGCGAGGTGCCCCACTCATTGTCCTTGCTCGGTTCAAGTTTGTTGTGGATGCCATTGCGATTGCTGATGAAGCTGATGGTCATCATGTTGCCAACCTGAGGTTGGTGATCTCTACCAATTGCACGCCCGATAAACTATACTACCGCGGGCAGCAGTATCATCGATGATAATATCATCGGTAAGATTATTATGGATACTTTGCCTATATGGTGTAGTTGTTGAGCTAGTTTGCTTGAGGCGCTTCCCGTATTTATCTATTCTTTTTACGAACAATGTTGCAGGGCGTCTCTTTTTTCACAAACATGATATCGATAATTTCGCTGGCACTCATAGTTCGAGCACTCAACGCTTACTACACGTGCCCCCTTGGGGATTATTGACGGATTATCGGTTTGTCATGTTGATGGTAGCTCCATTATAGTTAATATCACTATCGTCTCCTAACGGTTGACTCCGTAGATAACGACACTCTTGAGTTAGCACTGGGAAGGCTCGATCTCGAGCCAAGTGACACCGCAGACTCCGCCGATGACGTCCTCCTCATTACCACGGCTGACCAGTAACATACCGTCCGGCCTACTCGATGTCACTGGGATAGTGGTCTCAGTAGCCAAAGTGAGGCGATACCTATCGGCTGGGAGCGACGTGTCGGGAGAGTTTTCCGAAAAAATGTACAAGACGGCGTCACGATCATGTTCTCAGTCCCTCCACTGGAGGCACCAACGAATGTTAACGATTTTACCTTAAAAACGATTTTATGTATTTTCATTCGAAGAAGAACTCGACAGAAGAAAGTCATAAAAACCTGCTGAAATGCATCCTAGGTAAACAAAAACGTTTGAGCAGAAAAAAATTCACACAATGTCGGAGCAATTATGTGAACTAACATGCTATAATGAAAGCACGATTTTGGGAAGAGCAGATGTTGTTCTGCCGTTTAGAAAACCAGCAGACACACTAAGGCGCCCTGAATTTGCGTTTCATTGCCCTGAATAGAAAACAGACATCCGCGCATGTGCGGTTGCAAATAGTACTGGTTACTGATCGGATACTTAATCTTGATATCTTGCTTTCTCTCGTTCTTTGCAAAGTTGCTAACTGACATCATCAATACAAGCAGTTGGGCCCACCATCTCTGTAGTTGACACTCTCGTGAGCAGCTGACCCTATCTTGCATTATATACGAGTACGTCGTCCCTCATCTCGAACCTGCAACAAATGCCACTCATCGACTAAGAAAAACATGAGGGAACAGATCAGACGCGTGGAGACAAACTCTTTAGCTCGCACACTCGACGCTAGCAGGCGGATAACACTCTTGTAAACAACTATTATCATCGTTATACTTGAAGTTTGTTATTACTAACATATTTTCCAAGTATGTCCGTATCTGGCAGCGACAATGGGAAAGTGTACTCGTGGAGTGACGTCTCTGGTAACGTGTACTACTACTATAAGCACCCTATGACTAAGGCTGTCTTGTTCGTTTTACTACAAGAGTTATGTGAGCGTCTGGCCTTCTATGGCTTGATGCCCAATCTGCAGATCTTCCTCAAGGAGTATCTTGGCGTTGATGATGCTGGTGCTAACTCGTATATCTCAACGTTCAACGCTATCCTTTATGTTACTCCACTTCTGTCTGCTGTGATATCGGATACTATTCTGGGACTGTACCTTACTATTCTGGCCTTCTCTTTCGTTTATATGGCGGGTTTGGCTCTCCTCACGCTGTCTACGATACATTCGATCAGTCAGCCGTGGATGATCCATGTTTCACTACTCTTTCTCATCGCATTTGGTGCGGGTGGAATTAAGAGTTGTGTGAATGTTATGGGAGCCCAACAGTTCCATCCTGAGGAGCACAAAGATCTAATCACGAGGTATTACACCTACTTCTATGCTTCTATCAATCTTGGCTCTATTGTTGGTGGTATTGTGACTCCGATTTTGGTGGAATCGGTCTCTTTTACTGCAAGCTTCTCCTTCCCTCTCGTTGCCTTCATCATAGCAACGATTGTTTTCGTTGTGGGTAACGTGATGGGCCGTTATGTGAAGCCGAAGCCTCAGGGATCCGCTGTATTAGAGATCCTTAAGGTCATCTTCTTTTCTCTTACGAGGTGTTCTCTGGAAAAGAACAAGGAGTCAAACGGTGGTCGTTTCAAGGATGGTTTTATCGAGGATGCAAAGGCACTGTTCAGACTGGTGCCTTTATTTTCCCTCATTATACCGTTTGTGATGGCCTACAATAACATGACGACTGCTTTTCTAACTCAGGGTAAAAAGATGGACACGAGCCTTTTCGGGTGGGATATGCCGGCTCAGATGATGCAAAACGTGGATCCTATTGCTGTGGTTTTGACCAGCGTGTTGGTTGATACCGTATTGTTCCCTCTCTTGAAGAAGTATAATATGATGCCGTCAGTTCTGGTTCGTTTTTGTATCGGTTCGTTATGTGGTGCGGCGTCCCTGCTCGTGGCTCTCGGTGTGGAGTACATGGTTATGAGCAAGGCTGTGTTCTCTGTCTCCATTTGGTGGCAGATCCCACAGTTCTGGTTGATTGCTGCTGGTGAGATCTTCCTGATATCCACTTCTTACGAGGTTGCATTCACGTACTCTCCGGGAGCGCTGAAAGCAGTTGCTTCTGCGTTCAACCTTTGTTTCTTTTCCATCTCGAATGTTCTCTCGGCGGTCCTTTTCCAAGTGTGTTCCGAGTGGCTTCCAAACTTTGATATTAAGAATCCCACAGAAGAGGCCGTTAGCGGTGCTCACTATGATTATTATTATATGGTTTTGGTAGCCCTGTGTATTTTCGGTGCAGTTGGCGCGGTATCGATGATCCCGTACTTCAATAGGGTCGCCGCGAAGAATGCGGCCAGGAAGGCGGAGGCTGAGTTAGAGAATGTTGTGAAGAAGGATGAGGTCGATGTATAATGTGAGGTGCCTGTTGTTTCAATTCTGTCACATCATGATTACTCCTGTTTCAAGTTTCATTTTTCCTGTTGTACACATAGTTCTGCAGAACTCAGTGTATTTTGTTGAACGTACTGTTCCAACAAATATGTTCTGCTGTCCTCCACGCGTATAATTTGATTTCGTGTAGTTTACTCATTTCGGTTCCCGCTAGGCGGTGAATATTATCTTCCTTTCAAGTACATTAGCTTTGTGTTGGCAGTTGTGGGAAGAGACCTAGTGACTTCACGTACCACATTTCGCTGGTCAAGGGAGAATAATAGAGCACGACTTCAAGCTGTGTGCCTTAGGTTAAGCGATTGTATTGCGCGCTGTTGATGTTGTGCGGGTTGTACTTACGTTAAAAAGTTCTGAGTGGGGTCAAGCTACTGAGTAAGAGGGTTCGTTACAGCCTTAAATCCCTATGCGCTGCTCGTCCGTTGATATCGTTGTTGTGATGGTATGTAATCGATTATTTTGGCGCGCGCTTAATTTATAACGCTTGTTCGTTACTCGCTCGCCCGTAATGTTCTCTTTTGCTACCACTCTGGAATTTGATCGGTATCTTACTGCTACGCTCCTATCGACTAGTTTGGAAGTTTTGCGCCGACCACAGCGAAGTGGTTATAATGCAATCCTAACTAGAGTCGTTGGGATCACTCCGATTTGCCTTTTCTTATTGTTGACCGGTGCTTTTGTGAAGGGTCAACTGAGTTCATTGTAGTTCAACATTATCATCGAATGCCTCAACCCTACGCTTGGGTACGCTTGAAGAACTCAGGGAGCACCAGTATCTCCCCACGGTCGGGCCATACCATCACAGCCACGCCTCATGGCTTCATCTGCTACGGCGGAATGGACGGTCGACGTAACGATCTCGGCAACCCTGCTCCGAATTCGGACTTATACGTTCTTAAGCTGCACCCTCAATACCAATATGAATGGGAAGTCGTCGAGCTGGACCCCAGCAGTAGTTCTCCACCAGGCAGAACGTTACACACGGCGACTTGTGTCACCGACGATGAGGTTTTCTTCTTTGGTGGCATTCATAGTGCTACTCCCTACCAATGCCTTAATGATGGTTGGGTGCTGGACGTGTCTTGCATGGAGTGGAAGAATATCGCATTCAAAGCATCGCAACAAGATAAGAAAAGTGCCGGTGTCCGCAGACTTACGGGTCTCATCGAAGAGGTCGTGCACAATGCTGAGGGTCTAGTCGATGGTCGTTTCAAGCTAAGGAGACCATCTTTGAATAATAACCGGCCTACGAAAACGGTCGGGTTCGCTGACATTGTTGGAGCTATGACTGGCAAGAAAAAAAGCACTATGTTGGGAGCAGGATCGAGTAAGTTCAAGTCTATTATACAGGTTAAAGGGACGAGGAAGAAAACGATGCTCCCATCGGGAAAAACAGTTGGCGGTGGACAGAATGCTGCTAGTGGAGCCTTGAGGGACGAGCAGGACGCTTTTCATGAGGACATCGTTTCTCTGGTGAGCAGCATTGTGAACCAAGATGACGAGTCGAAGAAGCAACCCCCGAACGTGCCGGCTCCTCGAGCTAATCATACGGCCACGCTGGTCGAAAACAGCATAGTGCTCTTTGGTGGTCACGGTGGACAGGGCTACAGCAGACGGCCTTTTAACGATGTGCATGTCCTCAATCTCGATAACGATAAATGGATCGAACTGCAGTGTCAGGGTAACCCTCCGGCCCCACGGTCAGGTCATGGGGCTTTTTCTAAGGACGGCAACTTGTTCGTTTTTGGTGGTTGGAATAATGAACATCAGTTCAATGACGTTTTCATGTTGGACGTTGAGAACAAGGATTGGACTGATCTCGATCTCGGCTGGAGCTGTCCCCGGTGGAATTTCAGTCTCCAGCTGGTCCACGCTATTCCCTCATGGAGGGTCTTCGTATTTGGCGGGGCATGCGATAAGGACGGTGGGGGCCGGTCCTTGGGAGCGTTCGATCAGCGCATTGGTGTCCTCGACTTGGCCGAAAAATTTTGCTGGTCGGAACCTAGCCTGGAAGCACCAACGAGCGCAGCGTTACGTGATATGCAGGAGGACTTCTTGGCGAACTCTCTAGGGCAGATGCCTGAAACTTTCATGCCTCCAGCGAGGTGGGTTTGTCTTTGAATTCTTCGGGGTGCGCGAAAGCGTATCTTGTTGTTTAGGGAGCACGCATCTGTCGTGTATGAAGCCGACGAGTCAAGATTGATAGTGTTCGGTGGCTGGTCTAATAAATGGCTCGATGATGTGTGGCAGATTAACGTGAGCTCCATTGTAGGGCCACCTTACGCCATCGCTAAGGTGGAGCCAGCTCTTGGTAATGAGAAATGTAGGGTGCGGGAATCGAACCTGCGTGTGTGTGTTAGGTCCTGTTACTGGCAATCAGCTCCTCCGTATTCGTTGTGTCGGTGCTACTAGTGCTCAAGGCACGGTGACAGTGCGCTTCTCCACTGCCAAGCACACTGCTGATTCTATTGGTGAGGTTCATTGCAGCATCCTCGACTGTGATGATAATTTCGTGGCGCGTGACGGTAGGTACAGTAGTAGACGATAATACCATTGAATGCCTGACCCCTGCTGTTATACAGACCATCGGGCCTAAGAGATGCGAGGTTAGATTTGCTATTGGGGTAAGTGGGGTGTGGGGGCAGTGTGGAAATGCTCTATCCTATGGGATTACACTGTTGATGTTATATTATTTATATATATCATGATTATGATAGGTGAATTTATATTAATGCATACTTCATATCAAATATTGCATATGATGGAGTTTCACCCGTGATATAAAAACGCTAGTGTGAAACATATTTCGAAAAGCACCGCATAGCGCGAATATCGTGTTACGCCACTTCACGTAGAACGCGTGAGACTCCAACATCTATGAATAGATGTGTAATTGATATTATTATGTCTTTATGAGGTATATCCAGTACGAATTATTCTAGTACTGTGGGTTGCTCACTTCCTAGGATGTGCGGTTTGACTTGCTGTTCCTTGTCTCAGGCGAAAGATTTCACGACTACGGTAACACACTACGACTACTATCTCAACACGATAGCTGAAAAGTCGCTTTGTTATGGTCCTGGCCTACTGAATGATGGGGAGGCGGGTAAGGAGAACAGGTTTATAATACAAGGGAGAAACAACCTCGGGGAGAATCGAACCTCTGGGGCTGACAAGTTTGTGATTTCGGTGATGCAAGACGGTGAGGAGCTCTACGATGAGAGCACTTGCTTCCACGATTTCGACAATGGACGGTATGAAGTGACCTATACTGCCAAGGCTGGTGGGGGCGACATTACCGTTAGAGTGAATCTCATCGATGAGAATGACAAGGAGCAGCCGATTAGAGGCTCGCCATTCACGGCTACTTGCTGTGAAACGGCTAAGCCGAGAGCTAACGAGTACGCTGGCCCGCTCGTTGTCGGATTTATCACAAAGAGTGTGAAGGAATTGGAGGAGTTCTTCAAGGCGACCGATGCTGGTATTAATATTAAGCTGAACGCTGGAGACGTGAAGTCGCTGATTAAAGTGAAGAATTATATCAAGACTATGTACGAGGAAGAGGAGAGACTGATATTGAAGCAGGATGAGGTTTTGGAGTCTTTAGGGGTAAGTTGGGATACCATTCCTCGCTGAAATGATGCTTAAATAAAATGGGTCACAGTAAAGGAGTCGAACTTATACGCTCTCTTTACCTACATGAACCTTCCGTGGCTACTCCTGTATGTCGTACATGAGGCATATTCATTGTGGGGAGAAGCTTCGTCTTGAATACTCTTTGCGAGTAGTCGTTGTTGAAAATGCAAGAAATGACGTTGTCAGTGTGGTAGTATGATTTCGAATGATAGGCACTTGAGAGGGAAGGCCTGCCCAACGAGAAGGCATTGAAAGCATTAAGGAAGACTTGGGACTCTCTGGCAACTGTGAAGGAAGCATGCAAGCACAAGGAAAAGGAGATAGCCCCGATGGTGCAGAAAGAATCTGATATTTACAAGGCCAAAATCGCGGAGTTCGAGGAAGGTCTCAAGGAGTATCAGGCTGGTCTCAAGAAGGAGGCATATTACTTTTACAAGTCTGGACTGGAACTCGCCATGGAGAGAATTGCGGGGGTCACGGCAGATTTGGACGAGTTTGACAAGCAGATGGAAAGTTTGACCCACATTGCTGAGAATTTCGACTACCCCGAGCAGCTGAATAACTCGAGGAAACTGATGACGGCAATGCGGGAAGATGTTGCAATAATGCTCAGCTTGTGGGAGTTTGAGGATCTCAGGATTCAGAATACTGAGGTCTTCCTTGTTGTGCGTTGGGGGGATCTAGTACCCGACCAGGTAGGAGAGAATCTTGCAATCTTGCGCCGACTTGGAATTTCTCAACGCAGATGGAGGAAGAGATCAAGTTGATGTTCAAGCAGTTGAAGGATATAAAAGTTGACAAGAAAAGAGATGCCTTTTTGGGCATGCAGGTGAGCCGAAGTGTGGTATTTGTGGCGGAGTTTTCTTGACGTGATCAGGACGTGATGCGGAAATGGACGACGTTTTGTCCCCTAGTGGCAGAGCTGAGAGACCCGGCCATGCGTGGAAGGCATTGGATGGCTCTTATGGATCTGTGTGGGAAGAATATATCGGTGTCTCCTCGTATACTGCTGCGAGACATGTGGAACTTGGAACTACACAAGTGAGTGTGAAGTGGAAAAGGAGTGGTATGAGCTGTCAACCCATTAAAATTTACAGTGGAGATTGCTCGTCATTGAAGGGGTCTCAATAATATATAAGTTCACCTATTCGGTAGAATAGGTGTTATTTGTCTGTTTTTGAAGCCTTTGTTGTTGACATGGTTTTGTTTTGACCAAAAAAAGGATAATGACAACAATTGCTTAGAGGGCATCATGATATAGATATGATTATATAATTACATCCAACAGATTCAAATCATATATAATAAGGTTGGAAATTTACCCGTTTTACGTGAAATGACGTAAAACTCGGTGAAAAACGCGATATTCGCGGTAGTATGTAGTAGTCGTGAAATATTTTCCCCACTGGTGCACGAGTGAAACTCCATTGTATTCGATCAGGTTTTCCGATGCTGTTGAGGAGATAGGGGATCAAGCCAAGCAAGAGGCGAAAATGGAGAAGACTCTGGCTAAGCTTACAGAGACCTGGGCGGGCATTGAGTATGACTTCACACACCATAAGGATACGGACATTCAGCTGATGAAAATATCGGATGAAAATTTCGAGATGCTCGAGGAGCACCAAGTGCAAGTCCAAAATATGTTCGCCTCGAGATTTTTGGCGACCTTTGAAAATGAGGTCACGTCCTGGCAGAAGACCCTGGCTAATGTCTCCGAGGTGTCACTTCTGCTCGCCGAGGTTCAGCGTAGTTGGAGCTTTTTGGAGAATCTTTTCATACATAGTGAAGAGGTGAAGAAGGAGCTGCCTGCTGAAAGTGAAAAATTTGTTGGAATTGATATGGACGTGAAAGACATCTTGAAAAAGGGTGAGCATCTGAGGTTATGTAAAGATTTCTGTAACGAAAGTGGGATTTTTGGCACGTTGGAGAAAGCGCAGAATGAGCTGAACGTCTGTGAGAAGGTAAGAGATAGGCTCTTCGGGATCTGCTGTACTGTGCTACAGTGGAGTTTCACCCGTTTAACGTGAAGTGGCGTAATACTCTGTGAAGACCCGATATTCTCGCTATGCAGTAGTCGTGAAATATATTGAAATTAACGCTATTTTCGAGCATCTCCAAATTGGGCCGGATCGACTCTCTCGAGTCGGAAGTGAATTTCGTGCCGTGTGACGGTGGTAGCCCTTTTGTGGTGTAAGTATTCATGTTCAGGCACTGAATGACTTCATGGACGGCAAGAGACGAGCCTTCCCTCGATTCTATTTTGTGTCCACGAGCGACTTGTTGGATATACTCTCCAACGGCAATACGCCTTCTAAGGTTATGCCGCATCTGGCTAAGGTCTTCCAGGCGGTGCAGACATACGAGTTGGAATATCCTGATGGGAAAGATCAGAGGCCGGCAGCAGTCGGTATGGAGTCATGTGTTGGCGTTGAGTAAGTGCAAGGTGCAAGGATTGAACCTGGGGTCTTCGGGTGTGTAGTTAGGGATCTTCCCTGTTAATCTAAGGTACGTGCCTTTCCCCGAGCCAACTCTTCTTGCTGGCAAGGTCGAGATCTATATGGAATCGTGCGTAGCTGCTTTCCGCACTGCGTTGAAGTACTATGCCAAGAAGGCCTTGCTGGACTGCGAAGAGGTTAGTTTTGGTCCCGAGTTCGAATCCCCCCAGAGGTATTTTTATCAGGCCGGCGATGCAGGCCGCGGTGAGTGGGTAAAAGGCGTTACTGCGGCCCAGTGTGCCCTGATGGTGAATATGATAATGTGGGTCCGCATGGTAGAGCGAGCCTTCGATGCATACAACGAGGGGGACAAAGAAGCTGTGCAGAAATCTTCACAGCGCGTGTCGGATCTTTTGTTGGATTTGATTCGACTAACCCAGACGGCCTTGGATAAGCCTCAGCGTATGAAGGTTATGTGCATGATCACTCTAGACGCCCATAACAGAGATATCACAGAGAAGCTCGTTCAAGAGGCTGTGATTACTCCTGATGCCTTCCAGTGGCAAGCCCAGTTGAAGGCCTATTGGGACGTAGAGGCCGATGACTGCCGACAGAAAATCGCTGATGCTGCCTTCTGGTATGGTTACGAGTATTTGGGTAACGGCCCTAGACTTGTGGTGACACCTCTGACTGATCGAATTTACGTAACTGCAACGCAAGCCCTGCATTTGAATATGGGTTGTGCACCGGCAGGGCCTGCGGGTACTGGGAAGACGGAAACGACCAAAGACCTCGCAAATGCTGTGGCTAAGGCATGCTTCGTTTTTAATGCTAGTCCCGAGATGGACTATCAAACTATGGGGGCAATTTTCAAGGGCTTGGCGAGCTCTGGCACTTGGGGGTGTTTTGATGAGTTCAATCGATTGGTCCCTGAGGTCCTCTCGGTATGTACAGTTCAGTTCAAGGCAGTCTGCGATGCTGTGAAGGCTAAACTGAAGGTCTTTGTTCTGCAAGGGGACGAGATAACTCTGGACCCGTCCTGTGGGGCGTTCATCACTATGAATCCAGGCTATCTTGGCCGTAGTGAGCTCCCGGAGGGTCTCAAGGCCCTATTCCGACCAATCACCGTTATGGTACCGGACTTCGCGCTGATTATGGAAAACATGTTCATGGCCGAGGGCTTCCTGGAGGCGAAGATTTTGGCTAAGAAATTCTCGACACTGTATTTCCTGTGTCAAGATTTGCTGAGTAAAGCCCCTCAGTATGATTGGGGAATGAGAGCTATTAAATCGGTGTTGGTGGTAGCGGGTGGATTCAAGAGAGCCGAACCGGATCTTTCTGAACAAGCGGTGAGAAATAATTATTCGGAAAAATGCAGGTCGTGGGGATCGAACCTGGGGTCTTGTTCAGGTGCTGATGCGCTCGCTGCGTGATACTAATGTGGCCAAGATTGATGGAGATGACCTCAAGATCTTCATGGGCTTGCTCGGTGATCTTTTCCCAGGCATTGACGTTCCCCGCGCGAGAGACCACAAATTCGAGGATGTAACAAATTCTCGACTTTTTCGCTGTTGATGTATTTCCCGTAGATTATAGTGAAAGCGATGGAGGAGTGTGGGTTAACGCCGGACCCTGAGGGGTATCTTTTACTGAAGATTACTCAGCTTGTAGAATTGATGGTCATCCGTCACTGTATATTCCTCATGGGCCCTCCTGGTAGCTTCAAATCTACTGTGTGGAGGTAGGTTGGGTGCGTCGCTCCGCTAAGAAATGTGATTTTTTATAGGATTTTGGCGAAGGCAAAGGACAAGGTTGGTGATAAGACAACGTGGATCGACCTTAACCCGAAGAGTATTTCTACGAACGAGCTTTACGGCTATGTGAATATGGCCACGCGTGAGTGGAAGGATGGCATTCTCTCCAAGACTATGCGGCACCTCGGACAAATCCAGGATACCCATCCTAAGTGGATCATCCTTGATGGTGACCTTGATGCTAACTGGATAGAGTCTATGAACAGTGTCATGGACGATAATAGGCTGTTGACACTGCCTTCCAATGAGCGAATACCACTGAAGACGCATATGAAGATGATATTCGAAATAAGGGATTTGGCCTATGCCACCCCAGCAACGGTCACAAGGGCAGGGGTGGTATTTATGGTGGATTATGCTGGAGTGCAGTGGAAGAGCTACAAGACTTCGTGGATTAAGCGCTTGGAAGTAGCTGACTCGGTAAAGGAACAAATGGAGAAGTTATTTGATAAGTATTGTCCTGATACGCTAATGTATATGCTCAAGCACTGCAAGATACAGGTAGGAACGTCACTGCGCCACGAAATTATTTCATTGGGATTCGGCAGTGATGCCAGGCTCATTTGTATCTGAGGATCGAAATCTTCCAGACCTGTCACTAAATTGCATCTCAGGTCCCCCTGGTGGATATTTCTATGATACAGTCCCTGTGTCTCCTCATGGAGTCGTTGATGGGCGCTGGATCGACGGACTCGAAAGAGGCGCCTCAGATTGAGCTAGATGCTCTGGAGTACTGGTTCTGCTTTTGCATGGTCTGGGCTGTGGGCGGCTGCCTCGCTGAAGTCGATGGAGTTGATTATCGAAAGCAATTCAGTAATTGGTGGAAACAAGAAATGAAGACGATCAAATTCCCTAGCAAGGGAACTGTATTTGACTATTTCGTCCAAGATGCCCGCATGGAGGAGTGGTCGATTATAGTGGACCCGTTGGAGTACTCATCGGAGGTTCCTATGAACCAGGTGGGATAAGGACAGTGTTGGAGTAGAAATATATGTTCGATCTCCTCAGCTGAGCTCAGGAGTTTACTCAATAAAATGATAGTTTATATACGAATTGTACAGAAACCAACAAGAATTTCCCAATATTTCTTCACTATTTTAGTTACTAAAACAGTGAGGAAATTTTGTTACTGAAATTTAGTATTGTCACCAACACCTGTGGTTGATTGTGCGGATATTCCATGACACTGATGACTAGGATTTGCTCAGGTTACGGTACCGACCTCGGAGACGGTAGCGACCAGCTATTTCATGCAAGCTCTGATGAAGGTCCATCAACCAGTGATGCTCATTGGTCTAGCTGGATGCGGCAAGACTGCTATGTGCAACGGTCTGTTGCGGAATCTCGAGCCTGACGTCTTCGCGTCGCATATGATGAACATGAACTACTACACTGACAGTAGTCTGCTACAAACGATGATGGAAATACCCCTAGAGAAAAAGGCCGGAAGGCTCTTCGCTCCGCCGGGGAAACTTCATTTGATATACTTCATAGACGATCTCAACATGCCCGCGTTGGACCTGTATAACACGCAAAGTGCCATTGCTCTGCTGAGGCAATGCCAGGACTATAAGCATATATATGATAGAACGAAAATGACTTTGAAGGACATAGGAAATACTCAGTATTTGGCGTGCATGAATCCTACTGCCGGCTCCTTTACGGTGAACCCGAGGTTGCAACGACACTTCTGGACATGTGCAGTACCGTTCCCCGAGCAGAGCGCTTTGCAGACCATCTATTCTACGTATATGAGAGGCCACTTTGAAAGGCTCAAATTCAAACCAGCGGTGAACGAAATAATTTCCTCTGTTATTAAAGCGGCGCTGACTCTCCATGGTAGCTGTACATCGGCGTTCAGGAAGACCGCGGCGAACTTTCACTATGAGTTTAACATACGGCATCTCGCTGGCGTATTTGGGGGACTTCTTCAAGCAAAACCGAAAGAATTCACTGATCCTGAGAAACTGGTATTACTATGGCTTCACGAGAGTGAGAGAGTCTATGGCGATCGCCTGGTGTCTGCGGGAGACCTCAAAAAGTATCGGGGACTTGCGGCTGAATTGTCCAAGAAAATGTTTGGGAAATTCAATCTTGCTAAGTGAGCGCGTGATATTGGCATATAGCTGTTAGTGTTTCCTTCAGGTACTTCCAAGAGAAAAATCCCGAGCCTTTGGTTTTCGCTCCGTTTAGTAAAGGCTTCGATGAGGCGTGCTATGACCGCATCCCAGGCGTGGATCGTTTGTCGGAGCTCCTCACAGAGGCGTTGAGAGATTATAATGAGAACAATGCGGCTATGGACTTGGTGTTGTTCGAGGAGGCGATGAAGCATGTGGGGAAGATAACGCGTATTATATCGAACCCTAGTGGCCATGCATTGCTGGTCGGCGTGGGTGGTAGCGGCCGACAGAGTCTGAGCAGACTCAGTGCGTTCATTGGTCAGTGCGTGACGGTGATGATAGTCATATCAGGTAGGGCACCTGAGATAGGGCATCTTGCATTTCCTCAACGCTGTTAGGAAAGTACAGCATGAACGACCTTCGAACAGACCTGCAGGCTATGTATAACAAGGCGGGGGTTAAAGACGAAGGAGTTATGTTCCTCTTTACTGACGGCCAAATTACCAATGAGAAATTCTTGGTTTACATAAACGATTTACTCGCCAGCGGCGATATTGCTGATTTGTGAGAGTATCCTTGTGCGCACAGCGAAGAATATCTTCTTGTGTAGGTATGCGGCTGAGGATAAGGATGTGATTCGTAACGCTGTCCGTAGTGGATGCAAAGGAGCGGGAATACCGGACACGCCGGAGAATCTTTGGTCGTTCTTCCTAACGCGCATCCGGAAGAATCTACATATGAGCATTTGCTTCTCGCCGGTTGGAGATGCGATGAGGTCGCGCGCCAGGAAATTCCCTGCCTTGGTCAACTGTACGGTCATTGACTGGTTCCAACCCTGGCCTAAGGACGCGCTTCGCTCCGTCGGAGAGAAATTCCTCGCAGAGGTAAGCAGAGTTTGTCGCCCGCCACGAAATGCAGAGGAAAGCGCGTAGAACTCCTGAGAAATAATCACAAAATTGCACGTCAGAATTACGAGTAGAAAATTTAGATTATCTTATCAAAATGTATGAGGAGAAAATGAATCCACGGATTTGCAGCGTGAATTCTGACATTCGCCTGTTCTTATCCCGGGAAGATAGGCTACTGTATTTTCACGCCGACTCTGCTCAGGTAGAGCAGCTTGGCCCGGCTGATGGCGAACTACGTGCCGGCGTTGTCGAGTTCCTACCATTCTCCTTCGAAGCCGTTGGTCATCAGAGTGAGAAGTTCATAGAAGTGGAGCGACGGTTTGCATACACCACCCCTAAGTCGTTCTTGGAATTGATCAAACTATATACGTCTATGCTTGGCAAGAAGCTACAAGCATTGGAGGATAAGCAGTATAGACTTTCTAATGGGCTCGATAAGCTCAAGGAGACGGCGGAGCAAGTTGCTGGTGAGTGTTGGAAAAATGTCGGAACAAGGAATTGAACCGGGGTTCTTGGATAGGTTTGGAAGAAGTACTGAAGGAGAAGGCTGTGGTGGTTGAACAGAAAGCCAAGGAGGCCGACGCCTTTGCAGAAGAGGTTGGCCGTGAGAAAACTAAAGTCAACGCCGAGGCAGAAAAGGCCAATACGGAGTCTATCGCGTGCGAAGAGATCGCGAAAAATGTGAAGATTCAGCAGAAAAGCTGCGAAGAGGATTTGGCCAAAGCTATCCCTTTGGTGGAAAAAGCAGAGGTAATTTAGGAAAATGCAAGAACGCGTAAGAATTCAAGATTTCAATGAGTACTGGTTTCAGGCGGCTCTTGACGTGTTGAATAAGAAGGATTTCCAAGAGCTCAAGTCGTTTGCTAAGCCCCCAGCAGGCGTGGACAAAGTGTGTGAAGCTTGCATGCATCTGATGGCCGGCATAGACCCTAGTATTGATGTGGACAAGAAGGGGAAGGTTAAGGATCCTTCTTGGAAGGGCGCGACGAAAATGATGGGAAATCCGGAAAAGTTTTTGGAAAGTTTGAAAGCGTTCAAGGGCGAAATTGATGATAGCAATGTGCCAAAGCAGAATATTGAGTACGCCAGGCCGCTCACACAGGCTGAGGATTTCACGGTGGAGAGCATGAAGAAAAAATCTGCGGCAGCTGCTGGCTTGTGCGAATGGGTTCTCAATATCATCATGTAAGTAGCGACAGGGGGGTTTGTTTTCGTGATGGAAAATTTCGAGTTTAGCGGGAAATTTTTCCGTAAAATGTTGCAAGAGTTGATTTTATGAGAGGACTGTTCTGTGCAGGTACTATGATGTGGTAATAACAGTGGAGCCGAAGAAACAGTCATTGCGGGAAGCTAATGAGATGCTCGCATCGGCCAATGAGCGTCTTGCTGCTGTCCAAGCGCAAGTCGCAGAATTGCAAGCGCAGTTGGCGAAGTTAGTCGCCGAGTTCGATGCTGCTATAGCGGAAAAGGACGCGGTGATGGCTGAGGCGCAGAAGTGTCAAACGAAGCTGGAGATGGCTCAGCGGCTTATAGGAGCTCTTGGTGCGAACGGGGTTATCTGGGAACAGACAGTTAGTCAGATTGCGGTGGACTTGGAGGTTATGCCTGGGGATGTGCTCATAGCATGCAGCTTCGTCAGTTATGTGGGGGTCTTCACTCGACAATATAGAGAAGACTGCATCAACACTTTTGTGGATTTCCTTAATAAGAATAACGTCCCATTGAGTGCAAAATGTGATCCTCTGGCGATATTAGCATCAGAGGCGGACATGGCTGGCTGGGCTACGCAGGGGTTACCGTCGGACCGGGTGTCCTGCGAGAACGGCGCTATTATGACTAACTCGGAGCGATGGTGTTTGATCATAGACCCGCAGTTGCAGGGCATAGCTTGGATTAAGAATAAAGAGGCAAATAATAACCTACAAGTGACTAGGATGGGCAGATCGAAAATGGTACCCACATTCGAGGCGTCGCTGGACCAAGGAAAAACGGTGAGTTGACGATACTAGGGTGACCATTGGTAGTAGTAGTACTGGTCTACTCTTCGGATTGCCGAATGTCGCTAGCATATGTTGGCAGCATAGTTTTCCCCTATGTGATATCGATTGGAATTAGTTGTTTTATTAGGTGCTTATTGAGAATATGGGAGAGTCTATCGATGCAGTCCTGGCGCCGGTGATAGGCCGAAATACGATCAGGAGGGGGAAGAATAGGCTTATCAAGCTGGGCGACAAGGAGATCCACTACCACCCGAATTTCCGTTTGTTCATGCAGACGAAATTGTCGAATCCTCACTATCCACCGGAGATCCAAGCCGAATGTGAGTTCATGGTCTAGTTGGGGCTGATGCCGAAAAAAGGCCCGTGCGGGGATCGAACCTGCGCCTGTTGCTCTGATTAGTGATTTACCAACAGGTACGATTATCAACTTCACCGTGACGGAGCAAGGTCTCGAGGATCAGCTTTTGTTCCTGGTTGTGAGGCTAGAGCGACCGGATCTCGCCAAGCAGAAGGTAAGCGTCACTGCACCACGAAATTGCAGGCGAATTTTGGGTTGATTTAGGCCGACCTTATCGTGCAACAGAATGAGTTCAAGGTTAAGCTGGCTGAGCTAGAGGCACTGTTGCTAGAGAAGCTGGCGAACTCTGAAGGTGAGGCATGAGCGGAGATCGGCTCTATAGGGAAGTGGCTTGCTTGTCGTCAACTTGCGGAATTCCCAGGACGGACGATTTGGGAAGGGGCATATTTCGAATCTTGTGTGCTTCGTTAGGCGACATACTTGATGACGTTGATTTGATCCTTTCCCTGGAGGAGGCCAAGAAGACATCAGATGAAGTGAAGGAAAAGGTCGTTGTGGCGCAGGAGACGGAGGCTCGTATTAACGAAACCTCGGAGAACTACCGTCCCTCGGCTAACAGGGGAGCGTTATTGTTCTTCCTGCTCATGGATCTGTGCAAGGTTCACAGCTTTTATAAGTGCTATTTTACCCCCGTTGAATGGAAGGGATGGCGGCCACTTCCCGACAGGTACTCGCTGGACGCATTCGTCCAAGTGGTCACACGGGCTGTGGATTCGGTATCATTGAGGAAGCCCAAGGTCGAGCCAGTGGCTGCTAAGGTGGAGGAGGTGAAGGAGCGAGAGGCTGCTGGAGGCGCCCAAGAAGGTAACGAGCGGCTTGTCATTGGGATTGTAGTGATGGAGGATGCAGATTCCTCGGACGGTGAGGAGGGAGATGAGGTGGCGGCAGTTGTAGAAGAGGAGGTGGTAGAAGAAGAGGAAGAAGAGGAGGTGAACGACGTGGTGGAGGTCATGGGCCGCCTTTGTACGTTGTGGACTCTGTCAAGGTTATCGAGCTCATAGGGAAGGATTTGTTGAACCGCGTGGAGCTTCTTATGAAAGTGATCACCATCTTCACATTCAACTACACTCGCCGAGGCCTGTTCGATAAGCACAAGCTCATCGTGGCAAGTTTGCTATGCCTCCGAGTATTAGTTAGGAATAAGGTCGTCACACAAAGTGAAGTTGATGTAAGAATCGTCACGCGCTATGAAATTCAGTGTGGGTAACTGTCCAGATACTTATCCGGGCGCCTCCGGATCCTGCAGCGCCTCCAATGCCTGATCCAATGAAGAGTTGGCTGACCGAATGTGGGTTAGGGTATCACTCGATTACGCATTGTGATGTGCGCGTTATATCAGTCATATGGCAGCAGCTGAAGACAGTAGAGACAATACCGGCTTTTAAGAGCTCTAGTTCGGGAGCATTGACGCAGAATATCGAGCAGGACTCTCTGGGGTGGAAGAGATGGTGAGACTGAGGGCAGCGGTTCACCCGCACTAGCACTAGAGCGGAAGGAATTAATAGCAGTGGAGTTCCACCCTAGTGATATGTAAAACACTAGTGAAAAACATTTTTCACGACTACTGCATACCGCGTTTTTCACCGAGTTTTACTTCACGTGAAACGGATGAAACTCCAATGTATTATTTAATTGAATCAATTATTTATTAAATTATTTTAGCAATTGATCGTATCAATTGTAATAGCAGTTTATGGATTTCTTCACTCTCGCTCTCGGTCGTTTTCGGCCATGCGACAGATCAAAAACTCATAAGGAGGTGGCTGTTGATAAGGTCGAACTACTCAGCGCGAGGGGGCCAGCATTTCGCTGGTATTTCTAGTGTTTCTCGTTTTCCCCTGTTTTTGAACAGTATTCGTTGGCACTGCTGCTGCCTTGGGGTAGTCTTGCATTCTGTTTCATTGTGCGATAGGTACGCTGAGGCTGCGGCGGAGATAGCGGATCTTCCTCGCTCGTTCAGAGATCTGTCGCCATTCCACAGACTGGTACAGCATGGCGAATTTTGTGGCGCGTGACTTATTTCCCTAGATACTGCTGAGGGTACTGCGGCCGGATAGGTTGTCAGCCGCTCTGACTCAATTTGTCAACGACAACTTGGGTTCGGATTTCGTCGAGCAAGCCCCCTTCGACATGGATGCCACTTTCTTGGAAAGCAGCAACCTTACACCTTTATTCTTCGTGGGTTCAGACTGATGATGACGCAAATCAGATAGGTCCGAATTTTGAAGGTTCTTTTCCCTGGCGTTGATCCAACTCCTACTGTTGAACGCGCAGCTAAGAATATCGGAATCACCGACAAGAATGGGAAGTTCGTGAACATATCTATGGGACAAGGCCAGGAGCAGGTTGCCGTGAATGCTCTCAATTCTTGTGCGGAGAATGGAGGATGGGTGATGTTGCAGAATGTAAGTAATTAGAAGCGTCAGTTGACTTTCATCATCATGACATTTGTCCCGGGAGTTTGTGTCCTCTTGATAGGTGCATCTTATGCAAGGGTGGTTGAAGTCATTCGAGCGAGCTCTCGAGGTTGTGGAAGAGAACGCCCACGAAGACTTCCGATGCATTATCACGTCCGAGCCGCCACCGGCAATGTTCCCTCTTATGGACCTCGTGCCCGGAAGTTGTCCTCCAGAAATGCATCAAGATCGCCGATGAGGCACCACAGGATCTCAAGTACGTCGCCTCTCTCGCAATGAGAGTAGAATAGAACACTCCTATGTGATGTTGAATCAGAATTAAAAGATGACTTTTGATCCCCCGCTTCTGGGTTTTCATCCGATCTTGACTGTGGAACTTGCTTACTCCAAAGAGATGATTCTTCTTGGGATGTCGATGGTACGTTGTCTCAGATCCAACGTCCGGCGAGCCTGGTCAAAGTTCAACCAAGAACAGCTCGATAACAGTTCCAAGCCACGAGAGTTCAAAAGCTGCCTCTTCGCGCTGTGCTTCTTCCACGCTTTGGTGGTCGGTCGTAAACGGTTCGGTCCCCAGGGGTGGAGTAGGGCATACCCATTCAACGACGGGGATTTGACCATCTGTGGGAGCGTTCTTAACAATTACCTCGAAAAGTAAGCGGGTTTTCGCTGTGCGCAGAAGTGGCACTTCTGAAATAGTGAGACGTCGGCGGTCTCTCGTTTCTTGTACCAACAGACCGTCCTCTCTCGATTTAGGAATATACGTGTACGCGGCTATGATGGGACGCTTCTCATTACTTCAGATATGAACAAGTTCCATGGCCCGACCTTCGTTACATCTTCGGTGAGATTATGTATGGTGGTCATATTACAGACCAGTGGGATAGGCGAACAAACAACACCTATCTATCTACACTCATCGTTCCTGAACTGCTGCAGAATATGAATCTGGCCCCCGGATTCAAGTCGCCTGACTCGAACAAATTGGATTATCCAGCATACAACAAGTACATTGACGAGAAGATGCCTCCTGAAGCACCTCAGATGTTCGGCCTGCACCCTAATGCTGAGATTGGATTTCTCACGACGCAAGGCGGAACTACATTTCAGACGATTCTGGAACTGCAAGGTGGCAGCGGTGGTGGTTCTTCTGGGGATATGATGGCGGGAGTCGGCGAAATTATCACTAGCTATCTCGAATCTCTTCCATCCAATTTGGATATGATTGAGATTAGATCGAACATTACGGAATGGAATCCCTACATCATCGTCAGTTTGCAAGAGAGCGAGCGAATGAATGTTCTACTGAGCGAAATCCGGCGCTCCCTAGTGGAGCTTGAAATGGGACTCAGTGGTGCTCTCAATGTTACGGATGCCATGGAGACTTTAGCTAACAATCTCTCTCTGAACAAAGTCAATCCAGAATGGGAGAAACGGGCTTATTGGAGCCTGAAGAACTTAGCAGGTCAGGTGTTGTGAGAGGTCATACCAGTGTTGATGATAACGACTTCAGGTTGGTACACGGATTTGTTACAACGCGTGGCTCAATTGGAGGAGTGGACAACCAAGTTGACATTGCTGAAGTCGTTGTGGATATCTGGTCTGTTCAATCCTATGAGTTTCTTGACTGCAGTGATGCAAGTAGGTTTTTATGGCGCGGTTTTTCAGAGATAATCAGCGCATTTGATCTTACTATAGGTAACGGCTCGAGAGTACTCACTTCCGCTCGATTATATGACCAACCGTTGTCTGTTCACGAATTTCACTGATACACACGGAGATTTCGGAGGGAGCAACGTTCCCGCTCAAGGAGTGTAAGCTGATCAAGATTGCTCCTTGGCGTGCACGGCTAGACTCTTCTTCAGATACTGCCACGGTTTTTTCCTGGAAGGTGCGGGATGGGAGCTTGGCAAGGGTGAAGAAGAAGGGTAAGCGAGCTCTCAGTGGTCAATCTGCACATCGAGAGTGATTGCATCAACATCTGTTGCAGGTACGTTACGGACTCGAGGTTGAAAGACCTACATCCCGTGATGCCGGTGTTGAACGTGTTTGCCGTTCACATCGACGAGATGTCATGGGAGGGGATGTACCACTGTCCTGTTTTCATCACCAGCATGCGTGGACCGACATATGTATTCCAGGTGAGTCTTTCATCCTAGCAAACACATGATGAGGTGTGCTGGTAGGCCAATCTTCGAATGGACGCTGATGATACTGAGGCACGTTGGGTCCTCGCGGGTGCGGCTTTGCTGCTGACAGATGACTGAACAACCGCATGAATACACGATGATGGACAAGTTGTGAAATTGGGAGACCGCAATTGTGTTGGAGTTTATAGAGGATATGAGAGTTGCACAACACATCTACGATCGTTAGTCATTGCCGACAATCGAAGACCTGATGTGGAATTGCAAGGAGCTATATTAATTCAATATTTGACTGACGCTCGAAAACTTCTACTGGATACGGAAACCGCAGCAGGCCCACATGATTGTGATACATCAATCGGTTCGAAAGCGGGCGAGTATGGTGGATCTTTGGCTGCCGGAATCTTAGCTCTTGGGTGCAAGGAGAGCCATCAGTCCTACCGTGACTTAACACTCGAATTAGACGCCTTAATGTGACATGTGAGATGAGAGTGGAAAAGGTTGCCCCCATGGAAGACGTGGAGGTATGGAAGGTGGGCGTGTTGTGGTACACAGCCAGGCTGTGAACCACACTGTGGTATACCAAGTTATATGAAGTTCATATTATGAACGCAACTCGTGGGAGCAGGAGCTAACGAGTAGTATAGGTGCCGCTACAAATAGTATCATCTTGATCACAGAGTCTGTGACACAATTTGTGCCGAGCCCAATATCCTTCCCAATAGCAGGAGTTAGTCGCACGACAGTTGACGACTTGTTCATCGCATCGGTAACCATCGCGAGCGCGGATAACCAGAAGTCTTCTGGCATCTCCTGGCATCTTCTGGCAGAAGATTCCAAATACATCGTCCGACTTACTCCAACAAATCACTCGTTCCTGTGCTGTGCACGGCGTACTGTCTCTTCAAAGGCAGTGCAACTGATGCCCTGAATAGCCAAGAACGAGATCGTTGCCATGCTGCGTAACAGTTGACAGTCCATACGAATCAATGATTTGTAATCATCTATCCCTAGGAACTGATGTAACCCTCAACTCTAACAAGATCGAGGATGGCATGCTGCCTAACGGCTGGCGAATGGTCAGTCACTCAGTCGACTATTCACTCAGAGTGATGGGGATGATGATATTGAGCATCAACTTTGCAATGGGCGAGCAAGGACAGTAGGCCCCGGGGTGGTAGGACATCATCAACGCAACAAATATCTCTTCCGGAACTGTCACGAACCTCGTCCGCATGTGGTAGTGCGTGATAATCTTGTGGTTGACAGTAGCAGTCGGAGATTTTAGCAAGTGTTACGGTTGCTCGTCGAATTACCTCTCCTCATGAAACCTTGCGATCAACGATGATCCGACTGCTGTCAGCAGTTGTTGTCAACAGAAGGAACATGAGCTCGGTCAACTCCAGGCGTCACTTTTTCCGGAAATCATTGACAATCCACATGATTTGCCTGCATCCACAGCATACACCTAATCCCATCAAGTGCATGTACCATATCAAACTCATGCATCAGATGAATTGGCGCCATCATGCCGTCTCCAGTCATAACTGATGGGCCTCCACCGGTTATGCCAAACTTACTACCATCACTTACCGTCCAGTAACTTGATGGCTCTAGGTACTTCTACTTCTCCTGATTTGCGCGCCACTCCCGGAGTGGCACTCCGCATTCGTCAAGTCCTCCATGACTCATGAAGGACTTGACGAACGCGGAGTGCCGCTTGACTCATGGACCATGAGACGCATACCTTCGACGTGATCCGCCAATTGAATATTCGAAGACAGCTCACAATC